TTTTTTATAAATTAATTTTTATTGGTGTTCAATTTACCAACATACAGAATAACACCCAGTGCTCATCCCGTCAAGTGTCCCCCTCCGTGCCCGTCACCCATTCACCCCCACCCCCCGCCCTCCTCCCCTTCCACCACCCCTAGTTCATTTCCCAGAGTTAGAAGTCTTTATGTTCTGTGTCCCTTTCTGATATCTCCCACACATTTCTTCTCCCTTCCCTTATATTCCCCTTCACTATTATTCATATTCCCCAAATAAGTGAGAACATACACTGTTTGTCCTTCTCCGATTGACTTACTTCACTCAGCATAATACCCTCCAGTTCCATCCACGTTGAAGCAAATGGTGGGTATTTGTTGTTTCTAATGGCTGAGTAATATTCCATTGTATACATAAACCACATCTTCTTTATCCATTCATCTTTCGATGGGCACCGAGGCTCCTTCCACAGTTTGGCTATTGTGGACATGGCTGCTAGAAACATCGGGGTGCAGGTGCCCCGGCGTTTCATTGCATCTGAATCTTCGGGGTAAATCCCTAACAGTGCAATTGCTGGGTCGTAGGGCAGGTCTATTTTTAATTCTTTGAGGAACCTCCACACAGTTTTCCAGAGTGGCTGCACCAGTTCACATTCCCACCAACAGTGTAAGAGGGTTCCCTTTTCTCCGCATCCTCTCCAACATTTGTTGTTTCCTGCCTTGTTAATTTTCCCCATTCTCACTGGTGTGAGGTGGTATCTCATTGTGGTTTTGATTTGTATTTCCCTGATGGCAAGTGATGCAGAGCATTTTCTCATGTGCATGTTGGCCATGTCTATGTCTTCCTCTGTGAGATTTCTCTTCATGTCTTTTGCCCATTTCATGATTGGATTGTTTGTTTCTTTGGTGTTGAGTTTAATAAGTTCTTTATAGATTTTGGAAACTAGCCCTTTATCTGATATGTTATTTGCAAATATCTTCTCCCATTCTGTAGGTTGTCTTTGAGTTTTGTTGACTGTATCCTTTGCTGTGCAAAAGCTTCTTATCTTGATGAAGTCCCAATAGTTCATTTTTGCTTTTGTTTCTTTTGCCTTCGTGGATGTATCTTGCAAGAAGTTACTGTGGCCAAGTTCAAAAAGGGTGTTGCCTGTGTTCTCCTCTAGGATTTTGATGGTGTCTTGTCTCACATTTAAATCTTTCATCCATTTTGAGTTTATCTTTGTGTATGGTGCAAGAGAGTGGTCTAGTTTCATTCTTCTGCATGTGGATGACCAATTTTCCCAGCACCATTTATTGAAGAGACTGTCTTTCTTCCAGTGGATAGTCTTTCCTCCTTTGTCGAATATTAGTTGACCATAAAGTTCAGGATTGCAGTATTCTTATCTTAATTCACCCACACTGTAAAATTTTCCACCAATCTTTCACCTATATCTTATTGAGTTTATGTGCTGGTTTACATTTTTTAAAAAGATTTTATTTATTTATTCATGAGAGACACACAGAGAGAGGCAGAGACTCAGGCAGAGGGAGAAGCAGGCTCCATGCAGCGAGCCCGATGTGGGACTGGATCCTGAAACTCCAGGATCACACCCTGGGCCAAAGGCAGATGCTCAACCGCTGAGCCACCCAGGGATCCCCTGGTTTACATTTTTTTTATTGATATGCCATTTGCATAACATGTAATTTGCCACATTAAAGTGTACCAGTCACTGTTTTTTAGAATACACAGAAAATTGTGCAGCAATCATCATAATAAATTTTAGGACATTTTCATCACCCCAAAAGGAAAGTCCATACTTAGTAGCAGTCATTCCTCATTCTCTTGATGGGACTGATAACCCACCTGAATGGTATAAAGATAGCTTCAAAGTGAAAACACCTGAGATACAAGAGTTGCAGAAGCCTTATATAATTCCTCATATCTGGGTGGCTCAGCGGTTTAGTGCCGCCTTCAGCCTAGGGCCTGACCCTGGAGACCAGGGGATCAAGTCCCACATCGGGCTCCCTGCATGGAGCCTGCTTCTCTCTCTGCCTGTCTCTGTCTCTATGTCTCTTGTGCATAAATAAAGTCTTAAAAAATTCCTCTTATCTGAATAAATAAATAAATTCATCTTATCTGGCTAAAGCAGAGTTTTATAAGGGATAGCTGCCACAACCTCCCCTCCCCCATTCATGGGGTTCTCTAATTAGGGAGGCCTGATCTGGAGCATTAGAACCTTCCAAAAGATTGCATAAGCAAACCTCATAAGAATTTTCCATCTTGGATCCCTGGGTGGCGCAGCGGTTTGGCGCCTGCCTTTGGCCCAGGGCGCGATCCTGGAGACCCGGGATCGAATCCCACGTCGGGCTCCCGGTGCGTGGAGCCTGCTTCTCCCTCTGCCTGTGTCTCTGCCTCTCTCTCTCTCTCTCTCTGTGACTATCATAAATAAATTAAAAAAAAAAAGAATTTTCCATCTTTTGAAGTGCACCCCTCCCTTGTGAAGTTGGCATATAAACCCTTATCTCAAATTCTTTAGGGAGCCTCTTCATCTAAAAGCTCCCACATAGTAAATAAACGTTTCTTTTTTAAATATTTTATTTAAATATTTAAAAGAGGGAGAAGCAGGCTCCATGCAGGGAGCCCTACGTGGAACCCAATACCTGGACTCCAGGATCACGCCCTGGGCCGAAGGTGGGCGCTAAACCGCTGAGCCACCCAGGGATCTCCAATAAACGTTTCTCTCTTTTTTTTTTTTTTTTACAGTTTTTACAATATTTTGTTTATTGTTGCATGGGCTGCGGCAACACGATCAGGGTCCTGAGGATAAGGGGATGAGGAAAATAAAAGTAAAGAGATGGGAACAGGAGGGACACAGTAGATGATGTCCAAGCAGTGCCAGCTTTATTCAAGGTTTTACAACATTTTATAGCATGAGCAAAACAAAGCCAAGAAGGTGTTTATTTTTATCTTTATTTATTTATTTTTAAATATTTTATTTATTCATAGAGACAGAGAGGGAGGGAGGGAGAGAGAGAGAGAGAGAGAGAGGCAGAGACCCAGGCAGAGGGAGGAGCAGGCTCCATGCAGGGAGCCGGATGTGGGACTTGATCCCGGGTCAACAGGATCATGCCCTGGGCTGAAGGCAGGCGCTAAATCGCTGAGCCACCCAGGGATCCCCTCCATTTCGTCTTTAATATAGCCGTCTTGGTAAGTAGGAAGTGGTATCACCGTGTGGTTTTCAGTTTTATTTCCCTAATGACTAAATGATATTGGACATCTTTTCTTGTGCTTATTTGGCCATTAGCATGGAGGGACCAATAGATATGCAGCATGAGAGCCCCGTGTGTGAATACATCCTCTGCAACACTGGTTCACAATGGCAAAGCCATTTAGACCTCGGTTCCCTGGTACAATGAGTAGGTAATAGTTACTGAATCTGTGTCTGTCCAGGGAATGGGGAGAGAAGAAAACGCTTTGACTTGTGCATCTGAGTGAGGAAATGGCCACCACTCCCTAAAGTGAAGGACAAGAAACACAGGGAGGAATCCGGAGCTGCAGCTGAGATCCAGAGCCCAGGGGTAGGTCAGGTAATTCCACCGGGGGAGGAAGTGGAAGCTCTTTCACCTTCCACTCTACCTGGTGGGAAGGAGTGGCAGGGAATTAACTCCTCCCTGCACCCCCTGGGAGTGGAAGGCAGCTGGGTTTTATGAGATTTCCTGTTGACCTGAAATGCAAAAAGGCAGCTGCCCCACCAGGACAAAGACCCTCAGGGTCTTCATTGTCTTCCTTCCTTCTGCCTTAGAAATTCCCACCACTTCTGCCCCAACAACTGGGAAATGGGTGAGAAAAAGGGTCTGGGAGTCAGAGCCTGAGCCAGGCTGGGAGTAGCAGGACAGCAGGTGATCTTTGAAGGGACAATACAGGTGTGGGCAGGGGTGACTTCAGCTCTCCCTTAAAGTATGTCTGTATTCCTGTATTTGTGAAGATTTAAAAAAAATAATAAGAAAAGGCTGCATTTGTCAATGGAAATAAGAAGAGTTAACAAAAATATCTTCAGTCAACTGTTGAGTAACCAAATAGCTGGTGGTTACCCATAGGCCTAGGGAGCTCCTAAGACAATTGTTGGGTTTTTCTTATTTTAAGATGTTATTTGAGAGAGAGAGAGCACGTGTGCTCAAGGGGGGGGGGGAGCAAAAAAGGAGAGGAGAAGCAGGCTCCCAACTGAGCAGGGAGCCCTAGGGGGTCTTGATCTCAGAACTCTGGCATCAAGACCTGAGCCCAAGGCAGATGCTTAACCCATCGTGCCACGCAGATGCCACTAGACAGTTGTTTTTATTTGCATTTCTCTCTCTCCTTAGATTAGAACTTGCTGGGAGGATACAGGACTAATTAATACCCCTCATCTCGAGTGGCAGCGTCACCTGTTAGGTTCCTTTTCCTCTCATAATCTACACGCGTCTCCATTATGGGAGCATTATTTTGCCAGACCAACATGTTCCTCTTTCAACAGTTAGGAAGAAATCGATAAATATACCGGCCAGGCAGGAGAAACCTGCCAGTCGCTGTGATTCCTTCGGACCCAGGACATCCCTATCCACCTAGGCAGTGTGCAGTAGTTATGCAAGAGCGCCGACTCCCTAGCAGGTCCTCGGCAAAGAGCGGGAGGGAGGCGATGGGGAGGAAGGAGTGCCTGCATTTTTTCGGATCCCAACACTCATCTGGGGAGGAAGCAATAAAAGTTTTGATAACTTCATGCATATGAATGATGCAAACTTGTAACAACGTTTGGAAGTGTATTTGTTTAAACTTCTTTTCCCTCTAAATGGTTTTGGGACCGTTGAACGGTAAATTTTGTTTCAGCACATTCATCATTTTGCCGGCACGGACCCTACAAGAAGGACAAATTGATTTTCCAGAGCAAATGCAAAAAACGGCTTTTGGCTCTTACCTTCCCACGCCCACCTCTCTCCGCCCCTTCCAAGCGCCCGGGAACCTTCCTAAGCCTGCCCCTCCACTCCCTTGGGCGGGGCCAACGCCGAGGAACCCGGATTCTTACCCCTCCCCCCGGACCTTCATCCCCTACCCGCTCCGGGGAGTGGGAGCCGCTGGCGCTGGGGGGGGGGCTGTGGCCTGCCCGAGCGACCAGGGCGCTGCTTTGCGGCAGAGGTGGCCCGGGGCCCAATCAGACCGTGCGACCCCGCGCGAGCGTCCCAACTCCCGGGCTCTGTCCCTCCGGCGCGCGGCCTCTGCCAGGTGGGTCCTTCGGCCTCTGTCCCGCTGCCTTTCCTTTCCCTTCCTCGGCCGCGAGGGGCCCCGGGGCTGGGGGCCGGGCTTGGGCGGCCCTTCCGAGCCCGGGGGCCTTCCCGGTCCCCCAGCGTGCTGGCAGCCTGTGCCCGGCGCGCGACCTCGGCCGGTGCTGGCGGCCGCGGGGACTGGCATTTCGGCGAGGCCGGTCGGGTGTGGGCGCCGGGAACGGACCGCCGCCTAAGTTCTAAGTTGTGCGCCCTGGCGCGGCCGCGGGAGAGCCCGGTAGCAGCTCTCCCGGACGGACGCCCCCCCCCCCGGCCGGCCGAGGGCCCGGGAGCGATTCCCTGTGGCTGCGGGGGGGTCCCCTGGATCCCTTCTCTCTCCCCTGTCCTTCCTCTCCATTTGCGTGGCCGCGGGAGGTTCGGCTTGGTCGGTTTGGATGGAGGGCTCCTCGGAACGTATCTTGAGAGAAGTAACTTCTCGTGTTATACTCTATGTTGGCAAGTCGAACTCTGATTAAAAAAAAAAAAACATAAAAATCGTATTAAGAAACATGCTGCTTCTAGGGAATGAGAGACGAATAGATGTCCTTGTTGGCCGTGTTGGACTCAATCCTCTCTACTCATTTCTGACAAACTTTCCTGAAAATCTTGCGAGAAACCCGGTGCCAGTGACTGGCCTGGGAAACTATTGCGTCCTGTAAGTTGTTTAAATCAGGGAGGGAGACAAACTATAAGAGACTCTTGTTTTTTTTTAAATTTTTTTATTGGAGTTCGATTTGCCAACATATAGTATAGTCATAGGAAACAAACTGAGGGTTGCTGGAGCGAAGGGGGATGGGATAATTGGGTGAGGTAACAAGCACTGGGTATTACGTGGTACTGATGAATCACTGACCTCTACTTTTGAAACTAAAAATATACTGTGTGTTAATTGAATTTAAATTAAAAAAAGTAAATAGTTTAAGTAAAACCATTAGGTTCACATAATAGGTCGCAAGAGAATATGAGGAGATGTCATCCATGATGGGACTTGGTGAGACCAGGGTTAATTTTCACAAGTAGTTTGTGCTCCTCCTGATGTATAACTTAGCAGGGGGGCTAAATTTGAAGAGGTAAAATGACCTAAGTGAAAGAATCTAGTCTCTTTTAATTTAAATTCAATTTCACTGACATAGTGTATTATTAGTTTCAGAGGTGATTTTAGTGATTCTTGAGTTCTATATAACATCCAGTACTCATTCAATCTCATGCCCTCCTAATGCCCATCACCCAGTTACCCTAGATCCCCACTCACCTCCCCTCCAAGCAACCCTTAGTTTACTATAGTTAAGATCCTCTTATGGTTTGTCTCCCTATTTTTGTCTTCTTTTATTTTTCCTTCCCTTCCCCTATGTTTATATGTTTTGTTTCTTAAATTCCACATGAGTGAAATTATATGGTATTTGTCCTCCTCTGATTTATTAAGTGTACCCTCTAGTCCCATCCATGTTGCAGATGGCAAGATTTCATCCCTTTTGATGGCTGAGCAATATTCCATTTTCTTTATTCATCTGTCAAAAGACATCTGAGCTCTTTCCACAGTTTGCCTATTGTGGGCATTGCTGCTATAAACATTAGGGTGAGGGGCCCCTTCGAATCACTATGTTTGTATCCTTTGGGTAAATACCTGGTAGTGCAATTGTTGGGTTGTAGGGTAGCACTATTTTTAACTTCTTGGGGAACCTCCATACTGTTTTCCAGAGTGGCTGCACCAGTTTGCATTCCCACCAACAGTTAAAGAAGGTTCCCCTTTCTCTGCATCCTCTCCAACATATGTTGTTCCCTGTCTTGTTAATTTTAGCCATTCTGACAGATGGGAGGTGGTATCATTGTAGTTTTGTTTTGTATTTTCCTTTTTTATAAAAAAAAATTATTTATTTATTTGACAGAGATCGAGAGAACACAAGCAGGGGGAGCCCCAGGGGGCGAAGCAGGCTCCCCGCTGAGCAGGGAGCCCTGTGCAGCACTCTATCCCAGGACCCTGGGATCATGACTTGAGCCAAAGGCAGATGCTTAATCTGAGCCACCCAGGCACCTGATTTGTAATTTCTGGATGATGAATGATGTTGAACATCTTCTCATGTGTCTGTTAACAATCTGGATGTTTTCTTTGGAAAAATGTCTATTCGTGTTTTCTGCCCATTTCTTAACTAGATTATTTGTTTTGGAGTGTTGCGTTTGATAAGTTCTTTATAGATTTTGGATACTAACCCTTTATCTAATAAGACATTTGTAAATATCTTCTCCCATTCTGTAGTTTGCTTTTTAGTTTTGTTGATTTCTTCACTGAGCGGAAGCTTTTATTTTGGTGAAGTCCCCGTAGTTCATTTTTGCTTTGGTTTCCCTTGCCTTACACTGTTGGTGGGAATGTGAACTGGTGCAGCCACTCTGGAAAACTGTGTGGAGGTTCCTCAAAGAATTAAAAATAGACCTGCCCTACGACCCAGCAATTGCACTGTTAGGGATTTACCCCGAAGATTCAGATGCAATGAAACGCCGGGGCACCTGCACCCCGATGTTTCTAGCAGCCATGTCCACAATAGCCAAACTGTGGAAGGAGCCTCAGTGCCCATCGAAAGATGAATGGATAAAGAAGATGTGGTTTATGTATACAATGGAATATTACTCAGCCATTAGAAACGACAAATACCCACCATTTGCTTCAACGTGGATGGAACTGGAAGGTATTATGCTGAGTGAAGTAAGTCAATCGGAGAAGGACAAACAGTGTATGTTCTCATTCATTTGGGGAATATGAATAATAGTGAAGGGGAATATAAGGGAAGGGAGAAGAAATGTGTGAGAAATATCAGAAAGGGAGACAGAACATAAAGACTTCTAACTCTGGGAAATGAACTAGGGGTGGTGGAAGGGGAGGAGGGCGGGGGGTGGGGGTGAATGGGTGACGGGCACGGAGGGGGACACTTGACGGGATGAGCACTGGGTGTTATTCTGTATGTTGGTAAATTGAACACCAATAAAAATTAATTTATAAAAAAAAAAAAAAAAGAAAATGAGTCTAGTGAGAAGTTGCTGAGGCCAAGGTCAAAGAAGTTTCTGCCTGTGTTCTCTTCCAGGATTTCGATGGATTCCTGTCTCACATTTAGGTCTTTCATCCATTTTGAATTTATTTTTGTGTATGGCATAAGAAATTGGCCCAGTTTCATTCTTCTGAATGTGACTGTCCAATTTTTCCAACACCAGTTGTTGAAGGGATTGTCCTTTTTCCATTGGATAGTCTTTACTGCTTTGTCAGATTAGTTGACCAGAGAGTTGAGGGTCCATTTCTGGATTCTCTATTCTGTTCCATTGATCAATGTGTCTGATTTGGGGCCAGTACCATACTGTCTTGATGATCACAGCTTTGTAATATAGCTTGATGATTTTCTTTCTTAAGATTCCTTTGGCTATTCGGGGTCTTTTGTGGTTCCATATAGATTATAGGATTGTTCCAGCTCTGTGAAAAACATTGATGGTATTTTGATAAGGATTGCATTGAATGTGTAGGTTGCTTTGGGTAGCATAGACATTTTAACAATATTTGTTCTTTGAATCCATGAGCATAGAATATTTTTCCATTTCTCTATGTCTTCTCCGATTTCTTTCATAAGTATGCTATAGTTTTCAGAGTACAGATCTTTAACGTCTTTGGTTAGGTTTATTCCTAGGTATCTTCTGGTTTTTGGTGCAATTGTAAATGGGATAGATTCCTTGATTTCTCTTTCTTCTGCCTCATTGTTAGTGTATAGAAATGCAACTGACTTCCGTGCATTGATTTTTATATCCTGCGACTTGCTGAATTCCTGTATCAGTTCTAGTAATTTTTGAGCGGAATCCAGCCTCTTATATTCCTGTATATTTAAAACTTTTAATAGCTTTCTGTTAGTTCTATGACCTTACTGTATTTCATTCATTAAATGATTCCTACTCTGTAGTATCAGAACTCCCACAAATCCATTCTGTCCATGTTTATTTATGACAGATGTCACACCTTATTCAGACCCTGGTGAAATCTGAAAAACAAAAAGGTTACATAATTATATTTATAGAAATGAACTAAGGACAAAGTTTGCTTTATACACATGTGTTTATGTGTCACATACCTATCCAGATACACGTATCTCATTGGCCATTCATGAACAAAAATAAAGCAGGTGGAAGAGCCATGCTGTTGATTGTGTTTTCTCCAAGGGAGTAGAATTTTGAGGAGGCTCTTTCAGACCATTTTCTAACCATATCTCTATTCTTTTTAAAGACAAAATAGAAATTTAAGTTATGTCTTTTTTTAAGGATTTTATTTATTCATGAGACAGAGAGGCAGGCAGAGACCTAGGCAGAGGGAGAAGCAGGCTCCCTGCAGTGAACCGGATGTGGGACTCGATCCCAGGACCCCGGGATCAACGACTTCAGCCAAAGGCAGATGCTCAACCCCTGAGCCACCCAGGCATCCCTAAGTTATGATTTTTAAACACTATTTTTTGGAAAAGTTGATGATTATCAAACAGCACAGATGTTAGTAATGAATTTTTGACCTAAAATAATAGCTATTTCCACAAATGCATTTAACTAGGCCCCCAAATTTTCAGGGGCTTTCCTCAAGCAATACGATTACTGGTGGTTTACATTTTCATCTTTTTACAGTTTTCTGTGCAATAGGAGGATCTGAAAGAAACAAGCTTCTTAAGCAATTTCAGGTTATCAAAGGTAATGAAGACTAATGGCAATACAGGTTTTTCCTATCAGAAATTAAAGAAATTCCTGTGAAACCTATCTTAAGCTGAAATGGCATAAAGCTAAGAGGGTCCCACACTTTCAAAAGTTTGACAGTTACTGTTAGGCCACATCCCTTTTAAGAACAATAGTAGTACCTGGTTTTGCTAATTGAAGAAAATCCAAGATTTGTTACTTTTGCAAAGAAAGCTGTTACCGTACTGATGTTGGTCTTTCATAAAAGTGAAATGGTGTAACCCAAACTTTTGAGAAGCAGGGGACACCCGGGGGAAAAAAAAAAATACGTATGAAGTGAACCAATTAGATATAGACAGAAAAGTTTAGAAGGAAAGAAAACACATTTATGTTGGATATTTCTGGATGATAGTGTGTGCTTGTGTTTCTTATTACTGATATTGAGGCAAATGTTTGGTCTTATTTCCAAAATTTAACACCTCACATAAGTTCTGCAAAGAAGATTTGATGGCATGAAATAGCAATTGAAATTTAAGAGTTAGGGACTTTCACATAAGGGATGGCACGCATTTTAAGTATTCAAAGAGATTGGCTCCACACTTTGTGTAAAAACATCATCCTGTGAGAAGGCATTTGACTCTCTGCACGTGTAGGACAAATCCTTGCAAGAAAATAACAAGTGATGACTTGAGACCATGTAAGATGAGCCAGATTTGGAGCCCCTGAGTCGCACAATCAGTTAAGCATCCAACCCTTGGTTTCAGCTGAGGTCATGATCTTGTGGTCAGATTGAACCCCATGTTGGGCTCCATGCTCAGTGCAGAGTCTGCTTGAGCTTCTCTTTCCCTCTCCCCCTCCTGCTTGTGTTCTCAAATAAGTCTTTTGAAATTTATTTCAATTACTTTATTTTTAAATATTTATATATTTAAGAGAGAGAGCAAGCAAGTACAAGCCAGGGGGAGCAGCAGAGGGAGAGGGAGAAGTAGGGTCTCCACTGAGCAGGGAGCCCAGTGTAGCAGGCTTGATTCCAGGACCTTGAGATCATGACGTGAGCCAAAGGCAGATGCTTAACCGAGCCACGCAGGCACCCCTAAATAAATCTTTAAAAAAAAAAAAAAGATGAGCCAGATTCAACACAGGGTCAAGAATATAGTTAATACATAAAAAGTTAATACAATAAACTGGTAATACAAGCCCCTCAGAGGGGCAGGTCACGAGTAGAAACTCTTGATGTGTAAGAAATTGTCTAACAGTGCAATTTTTGTTTGGATTTTCCTTGAGTTGGTAAGGAACCTTTTTGTATATTTAGGGTAGTTTTGTGTTTCTCTGTGGACTGTTAATATTTTACTCTGGGTGGTACTGAAATTATTTCTAAAGCTTCCTCTGTTTTAGTAAGCCTACTGTGAGTTGGAAGTATTTTTTCCTATTTATCATTGCTCTTCTGACTTTATGAGTTTTTGTTTTAATACGGTGAATTTTATCTGTTCATATGTATCCTGTTTGATGGGTTTTGAGTGAAAGGTAGAAAGGTTTTTCCTACTGTACAGTTACAACAGAATCAGCCCATGCTTTCTTTTAATAGTTATATGATTCTCTTCATTGCACATTCAATTCTTGGATCCATGTAGAGTTTATCCTGGCTTATTGTGTGTAGAACCAAGAACCTTTTTTTTTTTTTAAAGATTTTGTTTATTTATTCATGACTGACACAGAGAGAAGCAAAGACACATAGGCAGAGGGAGAAGAAGCAGGCTCCATGCAGGGAGCCCGACGTGGGATTCAATCCTGGGACCACGGGATCACACCCTGAACCAAAGGCAGATGCTGAAACGGCTGAGCCTCCCAGGCGTCCCCCAAGAACCTTTTCTAGGTAGGTACTCTTTGGCCCCAAATCTGTCTTTACTTCCACTGATCTAGGAGGCTTTTGTATGCTAAATCCCCTTTTTTCCCAAGGTTTTATTTATTTGAGAGAGAGAGGGCACAAGTGTGGGGGCGGGAGGGGGGTGGTTGGAAAGGGACAAGCAGCAGCCTCCCAGCCTAGTGTGGAGTCCAATGCAGGCTTGATCCTAGGCCCTGAGATCATGACCTTAAGCTGAAGTCAAATGCTTAACTAGCTGAGCCACCCAGGCACCCCCTATGCTAAATTCTTTTATGCCTTTGGGTCTATTCTTTTTTTTTTTTTTAATTGAAGTGTCTTTGACATACAGTATTAAGTTAGTTTCAGGTGGGAATACCTTGGTTGGCTCAGTCAGAAGAGCATGTGACTCTTGATCTTGGAGTTGTGAGTTGAGCCCTACACTGGGTGTAGAAATTACTAAAAATAAATTATCTTTAAAAAAATAGCTTCAGCTGTGTAACATAGTGATTCAATTACATAACATTATGACATGCTCACCACAATAAGTGTAGTTGCCATCTGTACTACAGTATTATTGACTATATACCCTATGCTCTACTTTTCATTCTCATAACTTACTTATTTTATAACTATAAATTTGTACTTGTTAATTCTCTTCACCTATTTTACCCATCACCTCACCCTCCTCCATTCTGGCAGCAATATGTTTGTTATCTGTATTTCTGAGAATATTTCTGTTTTTTGTCTTGTTTGCTTTGTTTTTTTAGATTCCACATGTAAGTGAAATCATGGTATTCATCTTCCTCTGACTTCACTTAGTTAATACTGTCTAAGTCCATTCATGTTGCTGCAAACGGCAAGATTTCATTTTTAATGGCTGAGTAATACTCCATCGTGTACATATGTACCACATTTTTATCCGTTGATCTATCAGTGGCATTTCCATATGGATGCTTCCATATCTTGGATATTGTAGGTAAAGCTGCAGTAAACATAGGGTGCATATGTTTTTTTCTGAATTAGTGTTTTTGTTTTCTTCAGGTACTCAATAGTAGAATTATTGGATTGTATGGTATTTCTACTTACAATTTTTGGAGGTATCTCCTTGTTTTCCATAGTGGCTGCACCAGTTTACATTCCCGTCAGTAGTGCACGAGTTCCCCTTTTTCCACATCCTCACAAACACTTGTTATTTCTTGTCTTTTTGATACTGGCCAGTCCAACTGGTGTGAGGTGATATATCTCACTGTAGTTTTAATTTGCATTTCTCTGATGTTAGGTGATGTCAGTTATCTTTTCATACGTCTGTTGGCCGTCTGTATGTCTTTGGAAAAATAGTTGTTTGGGTCCTCTGGCCATTTTTTAATGGGATTATTTTTTGTTACTGAGTTGTAGGAGTTTTTTTAATATATTTTGAGTATTAACCTGTTATTGAATATATGATTAGCAAATATCTTCTCCCGTTCAGTAGGGTGCTTTCTCATTTTTTTGATGGTCTCCTTTGCTGTGCAAAAGTTTTTTAGTTTGCCATTCTGCCAATTGTTTATTTTTGCTTTTGTTGCCCTTGCCTTGGGATACATATCCAGAAAAATATTGCCTGGGCTGATGACTTAAGAGTTTACTGCCTCTGTGTATGTGTGTTTTAGGAGTTTTGGTTTCAGTTCTTACATTTAGGTCTTTAATCCATTTTGAGTTTATTTTTGTGTATGGTGTAAGAAAGTAGCCCATTTTGGTGTCTATTCTTGGCCTTTTTGTTCTATATATGGTAGAGCTAGTCATCCCACCACATGGCTATTCATTATCAGAACTCTCCTGATATTCCTGCCTGTTTATTTTGTTGTCCCTTATGAATAATGGAAAACAACAGGACCTTCTAAAGCCTTTTGGATTTTTCTTGGGATTAGAATAGATTAATTAACTGATGATGGGGATCCCTGGGTGGCGCAGCGGTTTGGCGCCTGCCTTTGGCCCAGGGCGCGATCCTGGAGACCCGGGATCGAATCCCACGTCGGGCTCCCGGTGCATGGAGCCTGCTTCTCCCTCTGCCTGTGTCTCTGCCTCTCTCTCTCTCTCTCTCTCTCTGTGACTATCATAAATAAATAAAAAAGTTAAAAAAAAAATTAAAAAAAAAATTAACTGATGATGAACATACTTAAGAGGTTGAATCTTTTTATTCAAGAATATAATACATTTTTACTCTTAAGTGTGTTTTTCTGTCTTTCAGGACACTTTAAAGTTTATCTCATGTAAGTTTTTCATATTTTTGTTAGATTATTCCTAGGTATATGATCTTTAATTGTTGGTAATATAAATCTCTTTAGTAATGGAATATTTGTCCATGGAATCAGGCTGAAAAAAAATTGGTAAGGTCCTTGATTGTTAAGAATTTTGTTAACCTCAGTGAAGGTTATAAATATTTTCCATATTTGTTCTTACCATCTCTAGGAAAGGTGAAAAAAATTTAAAGCATAGCTTCTGAGTTTTGGTTTTTCCAGCACTGGGGGGGGGTAAAAGTTGTGTGAAAAGTTACAAATCAATTCTCTGAAATATTTTGTTTTCTCTCTTAAGTGTAGTGTTGCAAACAGAATTCAAATGTTACTGCTTTTTTTTAGTATCTCATTGGAAGGTGCTAAAACCTTTGGATTTCTCCTTTAACACATTTGCTGAAAATCCAAAGATTTTGGAAGTTAATGTTATGTGGGGAAGATGCTGACTGAGACCTTATTTGCTGAGCACAGGCCAAGACCCAAACAAACAGTCTCATGTGGTCTCTACCCCAGTACTGTGAGCATGGTGATCTCAGTGTACCCTTTTGACAAGGGTTCATGCTGACTTGAAGATAGAGTGAACCTCTTACTTGAGGTCTCAAGTATATTTCCAAACAAGAGGATCTTGGTAATCTTACTGGAAGCCAAGGAGCACAGCCTGGCTAGACCATTGCAGATAAGAAGCATGGGCAACAGACATTAATCCAGTGATTCCAGAAGATGATATAGCTCTCAATTGATTAATTTGAAAAGGGTATTGACACCCTAGTGTACCTAACAAGATAGGCTAAGTTTAGAGTACTGTGGAGCCTATAAATCAGGTTTTTAAAAAGAATTTATTTATTTGTTTGTTTGTTTATAATAAGAGAATGAGAGAGAGAGAGAGAATGAGCAGGGGAAGGGGCAGAGGGAGAGAGAGAAGCAGACTCCCCACTGAACAGCCCAGATGCAGGGCTCCATCCCAGATCATGACCTGAGCCAAAGGCAGGTGCTTAACCCACTGAACCACCCAGGTACCCCCATAAACCAGAATTTAAGAGGATCAGAATAAAACAGTTCTAAATATTGCATTGCTTTTCTTTTCAAGGCCTAGTTAAATATGGCATACAGTGGTTCCCTTCAAACATAGGGAATACACAATGCTTAGTCATGTTCTTTAGGATCTTCCATTGTTCCTATTTGTGCTTTGAATGTACGTAGGCCCTTATTTGCTGATGAGAGCCAAAGTAAAATATCTGAAAATTGGAGAATCTAGTTCAAAGCATGGCATGAAAGGGGGCTTTCCAAAACTGGTTGATGCCCAAGCGTCCATGAAGCCTTAGACTCCATATCAGTGTAAACCTACTTTAGTCAAGGAGATAGAAGGAAACACATGGAGTGGAGGCAGGTATTTGCATATTCATCAGGATATACCTCTTACCTTTTATATTTTTTTTAAATTTTTTTTAATTTTTATTTATTTATGATAGTCACACACACACAGAGAGAGAGAGAGAGAGAGAGAGAGAGAGAGGCAGAGACACAGGCAGAGGGAGAAGCAGGCTCCATGCACCGGGAGCCCGACGTGGGATTCGATCCCGGGTCTCCAGGATCGTGCCCTGGGCCAAAGGCAGGCGCTAAACCGCTGCGCCACCCAGGGATCCCTCTTACCTTTTATATTGACCTCAGTGAAGACGACTAGTCAGTTCTGTTGGAATTGGAACATCTAATACTGGGCAGGATGCATTTTAGGTACTCCTCTTGGAAAACCATTTGGCAACATTGATCAAAAAATGAAAGTATATGAGAATTTTGGTTCATTCTGTTGCTTCTCTGAAAATAGGGGAGAATTACATTCACATATAAATGAGCAGAGGAGTGCATCCAAGAGAGTGTCTTTCACCCAGGATTTGTAGAATTGAGAAGTAGAAAGGGACCAAAAGGACCCTCTGGAGGTAGAGTGGGATGTCCTGTTATTCAGCCATGAGAGGGAATATACACTGCCTACCATAAAAAGAATGAGAATGTGGTCCTTGTGGACCTGAACACTTGGGAGAAGTGTGTTCTCTCTTGAGGGGAGAAAAGCAGAAAGGTTCCTGCAGGGTCAAAGTTTGGTGAGTCTCCTTTAATATAAAACCAGAACAAAATACCTGGGTGGAGACGGGTAAACCTCTATGTCAGTGCACGTGTAGATTGACATAAAAATAGACATCTTACCTTCCACCTAAACCGTTGTTTGCTATCCTGCATGGACAGTGTTTTGAGGATGAAAAGGATAACCTAAGATTGTGACTTGCCTTTCTTTGGGGGTCTATGGCATGCAGTAGAGGCTCTTTAAAATTTTGCTTGATTTTCTCAATTGATTTAAAAGATTTCTAACAGCCTTCAGTCGCATCAGGCCTCTGGAGCAATACATTAATTTGTAGACCAAGAGAACCCCCCCCCCCAAAAAAAAAGGAAACATGATTTGGCTGGATATACCCTAGCCAAAATGAATATAGGCCAGATACAAGGACAGGTGTCTTTAGAATACCACATAGCTCTTGGGTTGAGAGACACCGCCCTCCACCCATATCCTCCACAGATCAAGCATGTCTCTCTAAGATAGGAACAAGGCACATACTGCTGGGAACACAGCAATTCATTTTAGACTTCAGCTGTTGTGATAGTCTGCTTCCAGAAGAACCTCTGGGGTAGCTCATGCTCTTTGCCTAGCTTTTACGAGCAGGTTTCCATGTTCAACTCTTCCCTCCACACACGCTCCTTGATTTCACCCCTCCTGGAAGAGTGTGGAAACCCACTCCCTGCCCCTTCATTTTATACTTCTGGCCTTATATAAGCATAGCCTATTGGTGTTGAACAATCTTTTGCTTAGTTCCCAGTGCCGGGTTCTGACTGACATGGTTTGACTGGTTCCTAGACCAGGATGGTCTCAGTGCACCCCTCTGGCCATGTATAGAACATGGACCCTTACAAGAAATCCCAGGAGAGTCCCCAAACAAGAGGACTCAGGTCATATGCCCATACACTGAAAGGGAGGTTGAGGAATAGGTTGCATTTGAGCTGTGACGTTTTCAACAAGTAGTGCAGAAAACAGACCTGGATCCCTTCATTCTGGAGGACGATGTTCCTTTCAGTATACTGATCCTGTTCTGTTCTATCCCATACCTACAACCTTTCTCATATGGGACAAGGAGGGCTTTCTGGGATACTTTGGGGCCTAAGACCCAGATTCTCTTTGTAGAGGGAGCCAAAGTAATCAAAACACAGCTCTAACTCAAACCTGCAGTGTACCTGCCTTACTCTTCCTTGTCTGGGTCTAGTACCAAATAATCAGGAAATTTTCCATCCTGTCTGCAAGATGCTACCCCATTGAGGGATGGCAGTTGACCCTGGAGCTTCTGGTCCTGGGTTCCCCAGGGCCCTGAAACCCTAGGGGCCTCACTGGCTGAGCTTGTTATTGCACCAAGGGCAAGGATCCACAGGCCAGATTCCCTGGAATTGAACTTCAGCTCTTTGTTTTTTAACAAGGCAGCAGCCAAGGCCACGCCCCCACTGCCTGGGGAGGCCTGCATCCCCTACTTGATGGCTGAGTCTGTCTCTATCCACCCTGTGTTAATTCTCCACTGATCCTGGGTGTGTTTTGGGTCTGGCCCAGAGAATCTTGTGGGTGCCCCACTCCCACCCTTCATCCCTCACAAACCTTCCTCAGAAGACCCGAAGGTGCTGCAGGCTTTGCTTAAAAAGTATCTGCTTGATGGAACTGTTGCTCCAGAAATGCCATCCCTGCTTGTTTGTGAGGTTTCTGCCTCTGCCCTTTGAGGATCAAAAAAGGTGCCTGAGGACACTGAAGCCCCCAAATGGGGTTGACTGTCCTGTGGTGTTGTGGGAAGTGGTATCTCATATATTTGGACTTCTTGATGGCAATGAGAATATACCTATAGTAACATCTGAAATAATACATACATCTGTGGATTCATCCCACATCTCTCTTAAGAGTTTTAAATGTGGATATCCTGGCAACTGGGACCCTCTTTTCTTGGCACACTTTTGTATGGATACCCATATGGTTCTAGGGCAGAATCCTTGCTTTCTGAGGACATTGATTCCATAACAATAGCTGACACCAGGACCTGGATTTCATGTCTTCTCCTTGAGTTATTGGCTCCTTTTTGCATTTACCCAGCTACTTCATCTAGCTTAAGGGCTCAAGAGTAGGCCATTGTGGAGGAAGTGACAGGGGCTCTGTTATGTAAGAAGACAGGGAGGTAGATTGCCCATGCTCACCTCCGGGAGCCTCAGTCACTCTACCACAGAGTGCCCCAGGTGAGTTGTGGGGATTGGGGGTAAGAGTGGTGGAGTCCGTAGGACAGATGGAGAGCCCAGTGGCTTCATCCACACAGTCAGATGACCTGAGTGAGGACCATTGTTCAGCAGCCCCTCCTGGGAAGTTGTCTTTTGAGAGTGTCTTTATAGTCTGTCCTTAAAAGACCCACTCAATCATTCAGCATTCACTTTTTCATTAATAATAGACACACAGATATGTTTATGTGTCACATATGTGTGTATTATATATATTATATATATATATATATATATATATATAAATTTTCCCCTCTTTTTTTCCCCCCCATAACTGCTTTGGAGATGCCACATTGGATAGAAATTTTGCCCAATCAGAGAAAAACCCTTAGCATTGCATGGTGACGGCTCCCAAGGGGTGTCTCTGCCTTTGAACTCCCTACCTGCGGTGGCAACCACATGAAATTTTTCCTCATGTATGCTGCAGGGATTGCATGCAAATGAAAACTAAACAGACACAGAGGGCATGCTACATTCCGTTCTCTGACCCCACACATCCTGCATAATACTCCATACACTCTTTCACATTTGGCTACTCCCAGCATATATAAGTATCCTGGTTTTGGCACATCTGTGCAGAGTAAATGTCCTGACCTGCTTGATCCTCTCCATTTCTTTTCTCATAGCTACCCAGTGTAGGGTACCTTCATCTCTGCCAAGGGGCTTAGAACATAGGTCATTTTACTTGTCCCTTCTCTTCAGACAGTGGGTTTCTCTTTTCTTCCTCTCTACTTCCGTCTTCAACCAGCATACTGAGTCATGGTTACTGAAATATGGGTGCGTGTGACCAGGATACATACTTTTGTGTCAGTGTCTATGCAGAAGAAAGAGGCTGGTAAATCATAACTTGCCACATCTTTAAAAGAAAATGTCAAAAAAAAAAAAAAGAAAAGAAAATGTCCACATCCCAGGAAAGTAAATGTGGTGAATATCTCAGTGCAGCCAGAGAGGAAGATACCTGGTACCTCCTTGAGTCAGATGAGCTGCTTCTTAGTAGAGGGTCTGTCGCTCAATTCCAGAGAAGGTTGCAGGCCTGACAAGATACCTATTGATATCCTTCCATGGTCATTCAGGGCCAGAACTGAGGGGGAAAGCTATGAGTATAAATGCCAAGGTGATGGCTGTTGGCTCAGAAAAGAGATCATGGGAGATATCTTCAGGTTTCACCTGGTACATTCTACATGAGCTGCTTTCTGAAACCCCTGAATGAAAATCCTTGGAATTTTTGAAGGATGAGTGAAGTTGATGTGCACATCATGCTGTATTCAGAAGTTTTGGTTGACCCCAGAGGTGTTAGGAATACTGACCTGGAACTAGGGGTGGTGGAAGGGGAGGAGGGGCGGGGGTGGGGGTGAAATGGGTGACGGGCACTGAGTGGGGCACTTGATGGGATGAGCACTGGGTGTTATTTTGTATGTTGGTTCATTGAACACCAATAAAAAAATAAATTTGTTAAAAAAAATAAACTAAAAAAAAAAAAAAGGAATACTGACCTGAAACACTCAAGGTGGCCTAAGTGGGATGCATACAAAACCCTCTTATGCAGCACTATGATGGTCCCATACCAAGCTCTCTCTCTCTCACTGCAGGGGAGACAGAATGAAAGGAAAGAAAGAAGTGAAAATGAAGAGGCCAGTGCTGATGTTCTGGTGAGTGAGTGCTCTTTATTTTCTTCTTTTTCCTTTAACAAGAGAGTTTATTTTACTGTAGGAAGAACACAGATTGTGGTATTATTTCAGCAAAGTTCAAGAAGGAAAGAATCCCTAGGCAGATTCCTAACACCAGGACTTTGTGTACTGTACCAGAATTTCACCTGTGGTAGAAAAGGCTCTCAAAGCAGTTCATGATTGTGGAACAGGAAAAAAGGAAGATGCTTGCATGCGAATCTACAGACAATCAAAGATTAACGTTAGGGCAAGGATGAGGTGGATTGCCATCTCAACAAGCAGCATACGGAGGGATCCATGCTAAAATATACGTGCCACCATTGACTCCTGAAATCCTAGAGAAATACCTGGGACACAGACACATAAACTTGAAACCTTCCATCCGCTAGTGACATATGCGCAACTTATGATTGACAAATAAACACAGCCCATGGATTTGCAGAAAACGATCTCTTTTCCACAAGTCACCATGTAAACCACCCTGGTCAAAGGCACCTGAATTAGGGAGCCCTAGTGGAATGTGCCTGAAAGGTAAATTATCAGCTTGGGTGTAACTGTGGCTCAAAGCTCAAGATCACACCAGTATATCTCCTGATGTGTCCTATAACCATCAGTTCAGTATTAACCAAACAGAGCAGGTTAATAAAGCTTCCATGTTATTCCACAACATACCATACACTCCAATATGCGAAGTAGGCTCACAGTTACAAGAGGGAAGGAGGAACAGCTCAACCTGCTAATAGTAGACAAGTGTACCCCTAAAGCGAAAGCAGCCCAGACCTCGGGAGCCGCCATGTTGGAGCCCGCCATGTTGGAGCCCGGGTGGCCAGCGCTTGGCCTTTTTTCTTCGGCAAAGGGCGGAGGGAGAGGCCCTGGGGAAGGGCCGGTTGGCATTGCTGGTGCAACACTGCCATCAAGCGGAATGCGTTGGCGATCCCCTGAGCCGCCGCCCGGTGGCTTCCGGGGACGACTGGGCCCTGGGTGAAGTTCAGAAGGGCCGTTGCCGATCGGCCAGGCGCCTGCCCTTTTGGCAGGCGCTCCACGCTGGTCCGTTGACGACCACTCTGGAGCGAGCGTTGGCATTGGGACGCTGAGGCAGGAGTCAGGCAGCCGTATCTCTGACTGTCGTTGCCCTGAGGGCTGTGGTGGAACGTTGGAGAAGGTGGCCCAGAAGGGAAACGGGGCGAGCTCAGAGGCCTGGCCCGGCCCGGACGGGACGTGGCGGGGGTGGCGGTGGTGGTGGTGGTGGTGGCGATGGTGGCGGGAGCCGGCGGGAGCGGGCGGGAGCGGCGGCAGCTTGGCCTGGACTTGGCTGAGGGAAATGGGGGCACTGGGACCAGGCCTCCGCCAGAGAAGGGAAAGCCGCGGGACGTGGCAGTGCCGCTTCCCGGTACTCCTTGTCAGGCAACAGCCCTCTTGGTGGGCCCAGGCCGGGTTTTGGGCGGGGGGCGCGGGGGCATGGCGGCGGCGGCGGTGGTGGCGGCTGAGGAGGAGGAGGAGGGGAGGAGGAGGAGGAGGGAGGAGGAGGAGGAAGGAGGAGGAGGAGGAGGCCGCCCGCTGGTGCTGCTGCTGCTCCGGCTCCCATCGGGGCCCGTCCGTCCCGGACTCTCTGCTCCTCCTGGGGAGCTCGCCACCACCTCCTCCCCGCCCCTACCCCTCCGCCGCCGCCTCCAGACCGCGCCTCAGGCTCAAGGCCCCCCCCCCCCCCCCTTGACCCGGGGTGGCCCGGCTCCACACCCGTTCCCCTTCCGGGATCCGGACACGGGGACATCAGGGTCCCCGCCTCCGTCCGCACCAGCAGTGGCGGCAGTCCTCCAGGTTTCCCGTGCGCGTCCTGGCGGGGCTGCAGGGGGCACGCGGGCCACAGGCCCGGCACCCCCTGGCCCGGCCCGGGTGTCTGAGTCACCCCGCTCCAGTCCCGCCCAGACGTGGCTTGGGGCTTCCCGGGCCCGACCGGCCAGGCCCCCAGGCCCCCGGACTGGACTCCCTCCACGTACATCCCTCCGGCCCCTCCACGCGGGACAGAGAGCACGGCGCCGGGCTCCCGGATCCCTCGAGAAGTTTCCGCTTGATGGCAGTATTGCACCGCGAATGCCAGCCGGCCCTTCCCCCAGGGCCTCTCCCTCCGCCCTCTGCCAGAAGAAAAAAAGGCCACGCCAGAGAACTCGGCAGCCAAGCCAGTGTCCGCTGTCCCTCGCCCAACATGGCGGCGCTCGTGTCAAGGGCCGGGCCCCTCGGGGTGAGGGTGGAGGGGTGGCGGGTGGCGGGTGGCGGGTTCGGCCGCGGGCCAACGGCCCGCGGGCGAGCAAGCAAGCACCCCCGCTTCTGAGGCTCCCGGGATCGGAGCCCCGGTCCCCTGGGCTGGGGGGCCCAGCTCCGTTTGCCCCGTGGGCCAGTCAATAGTCAGGCACGCATCTGCCAGTCCAGTGCCCCGAAGGAGGCTCCCGCTCTGGCTCTGGATCACGCGGACCGACCTCCGTGGAGGCCCCGGCTGTCCGGTGGCCCACACACGGGTGGAAGAAGGTCCGGGATGGGTCGTGCCTTCCCGTCCACACGCGTCCACGAGCAGCCCCCGAGCGTCCGCAGGTGACTCCCCGCGCCGCCGCCGCGTGCCAAAGGCAGCGTGAGCGTGTTGCCCCTTCCCCTCACACACGTCAGCTTCCCGGAAGGCCCTTAGTTTTGTGGGGGACGGGGTGGCACGAGGGCTGTGCAACGCTGTCCCTTCCTTGGTCAAACCTGGCCCCGGGCAACCGAGGAGGCGGGCTGCATCTCCTGTCCCCGGTCTCCCTCCGATCCCCCCCCCCCCCCCACGCCTGGATTCCAGGCGGTGTCCAGGCGCCCTTTGGGTCCCGGCGCCCTCAGCGGCACCGCGGAGACTCGGCACCTGCCCAGGGGCGAGGAACCGGGTCTCCCTGGCCCCGAGACCGAGACCGAGGAGCAGGGAGGACTTCGCTGGCCTAGTCTTGCTTGACAAGCGGGGTGGGCAAGGTGGGCGGCGTTGCGCTGACTCTGCGGGATGAGAGGTCCTGCAGGGCCGAGCGGTCCCCGGGCAGGGTACCCCCGCAGCCTCTGTCACCGGTCCCGCCCTGGGGTGCCGTGGGGCCCGTGCCCGGACTCTGATTGGCGAGCCGGGCGCGAAGCCCAGCCCGGCACCACCGAGCTAGGGGACGCCCGCGTGACCCTCCCTTGGCGCGGCCCCGTGCCCCGCCATCGACCGTCGGGGCGGTCGACTTGTGTGGGAGCCGGACCCTTCCTTGCCAGGGCGGCGCGCGCCCCCTTCGGGGTCCTCGGTGGAGGACCGCCTGCTTGTGGAGGGTGGTTCGGACCTGGGCTTCGTGGTCAGAAGGGAAGCCCCAGGGAGGCCGGTAGGCCTCGGGGAACGGACACTCGGTGGGGGGGTGGGGGGGTGGCTTGGAGGCCCGGCAGTCGAGGGCGTCCGCGATGGCCCTTTGGAGCTGAGTCAGGCCCGGGCCTTCCTTGCAGGGGTCAGGAGAGGCTAAGTGAAGGCGGCGGCGCGAAGGCGACCCGAGACCGGCAAGTGGAGGCAAGTCACCCTCACCCTCAGGCCGACCACCCGCCGCTTCTAGCTCCCTTCCCGTGGGCCCGGGAGGCGGACGGCCCGACAAGAGTTGCCTGGACCCGTGCTTCGGACTTTGCCCGTGCGGGCCTGTCTTGGGGGAAACGTGTCCCTTTGCGGGCCTCTTGGCTCCAGGTTTAAAGATCACGCCCCCGCCCCCCACCCCCCCACCCCCACTCCCACCCACCCCCCAGCGTCTTCTTGCCTCAGTCTGGTCTGCCGCCGGCCCCAGCTCTCGGGTCGTGAATGGGATTTGTGTCCAGTGGGGCGTCGTTCAGCCAGGCTTCGTAGAACTGAAACGTGGGAAGCGCCACCAGAGGGACCCTCTGGAGGTGTTGGGGGGTGGGGGGTGGAGTTGCATGCCACAGATGGGACCGGGACATCCCTCCCTGCCTAGGAAGCATGAGGTCGTGGGCCTCTTGGGAGAAGCGGCCTCTCCCGTTTGCCAGAGGGCAGAAAGCACACCTGTTCCCCGAGGGTTGACGTTGGAGGAGCCTCGAGCCATTCGGGAGCGTGGAGAGGGTTCCCCGTGCGTGACGGGAGCACCGTTACACCCTTGGGGACGGAATCGGGGTCGAAACGGACACCTGTCATCCACCCATTCGGGTGCTTGCTGTGGGGTGTGTGGGCCACCTCCTGAGGTTTTGAGAAGGGTGACCTCCAAGTGTGGTCTCCCAGTGTTTGGGTTTTGGGGGGGTGGTGGTGCGGGGAGAGTGAGTGTATCTGCCTGGAATATGTGTGTTCACGTGAATGAGCGTGAGCGGCCGTGAGTGAGAGACCGTGTGACCGTGTGTGGGGGAGGGTGGGGGGGTGGCGGGGGGCGTATGTGGTTCTTCTGGCTTCTACTGGGGCCCTGGCACAAGAGGCGGGTTGTCAGGGTGCGCCCGTGATAGGGCCCTGAGGTGTTCTCCGTAGGATCTGGGCCGATTGATGGGCAAGAAGGGGCAAAGAGCAGCAGCGTCCGGCGTGTGCTGGCCTGAGCCCGCTAGGCCGTGACGGGCACGGGTCCCCGGGAGCCCGGGCACACGCGTGGGTGTGTTCCCCCCTCGCTGGGCTTCCTCCCGTCCCTTGGGAGCTGTCCAGAGGGGGCGCCTGCACCGGGCACGGGGCCGCTTTGGCGTCTGTGCTGCGGCTCCGGGCTGCCCTCCACAGTGACCCGAGTGGGCCTGGATCCACGCCTCAATTCCCGTGGCGGCTGGGGGGGGGGGGGCATCATGGGCGAAGGGCCGAGTCCTCGGGACCCTCCGTCCCCTGGCCGCGGGACGTGGACCTCACTGTCGACCCCACGGCCAGAGCCGACCTTTTCGTCCGGCCGCTGGAGGCCTGAGGGGTGAGGCTGGCCTCTCGGGGGGAGTCCTGATCCCGGGATCGGGCGCCCGCTGAGCCGGGGCCAGGCCGGGCCGGGGGCAGGGCTCTGGCCCCACCACCAGACCGGTGTGTCTCCCGAGGGCGCCCGAGGGCCTGCGGGGGTCCTGAGGGCGCCTGGGCGCCTCGCAGGGTCCCGGGGCCGCCGCCGAGGGAGGCCCACGGCGGGCCCAGCCGGGCCCCGCCCGACCGTTGCGATCCCCAAAGCCGGCCGAGGGGAGGCCGAGGGCACCGAGGCTCCGCTGGGCTCCGCTCCAGGGGGCCTCAGATGCCTCAGGAGCCTCAGGAGCCTCAGAAGCCTCAGAAGCCTCAGAAGCCTCAGAAGCCGGCGCGCTCCCCTAAAGCGAAAGCGGCCCAGACACGGGAGCCGCCATGTTGGAGCCGGGTGGCCAGCGCTTGGCCTTTTTTCTTCGGCAAAGGGCGGAGGGAGAGGCCCTGGGGAAGGGCCGGTTGGCATTGCTGGTGCAACACTGCCATCAAGCGGAATGCGTTGGCGATCCCCTGAGCCTAGCGCTTGCTGTCCCTGGGAGTAGGCCGTGGGAGACCAAGTGGAGTGCAGTCGGACCCCCTCAAGTTCCCTTAGGAGCGGCGCTCCCTCAGGGTAGGTGTGGGAGCCTCCGGAAACCGCTAGTGGGACTAAGTGGGGACGCTCAGGTGCCCTGCAGCTCGGTTTGGGAAGCCCAGGCTCGCACCCTGTCGGCCACCATGTCTGGGCGGGACTAGAGCTCTGGAAGGCCTCGTGGTGTTGGCCCTTGGGCGTTTGGCCTGGGGCTCCTTCCTGTAGGAGCTAGAGAAGCATGGGAGGCCTGGGCTGACCTCAGGCCCGGTCCTGAAGCCCAGATTAAGACCGGCGCGGGTCGGGACTGAGGCACACGGAGGTCCAGCTGCTGCCTTAGTTGTGGGTGTGATGGGGGACCCCAATGTTGTTCCTGTGTCCCGTGCGCTCCTTGGCCACTCGGCTAGGTGGCCCTGAGGTGGTCGGGGAGGAGGGGAGGGGCAAGGTGGGCCGGCGGGGCTCGTTTCTGCGTGCAGAGCCGAGTCCAGAAGGGACAGTTGCCCTCCTGGTTCGAGCCATAGTGGAAGCATCAGTAGCAGCAGCCACCTCTGCCTCCTCCTCCTGCTCCTGCTGCTTTCCGAGCTCCCCAGGCTGCTCACCCTCACCCCCCACCCTATTACCAGCATCACAACCATGGACCAGCCTAAGAATCGGTGGCCTGCCACAAAACAGTGCAGGCAATGGTATCGGGGTGCAATCTCACGGGGGCTTCCCCCTTTCTGGCAGACACGTGGCCCCAGTACTCCCCCACACAAGTCTAGTAGGCAGAGTGGTCCCTCCACTGCGGCCTCTGTGTTTGCACACTTGACTTTCTGGGGCACCTTCTCTAACATCCCAACAGTGTGTTCAGGGCAATGTCAATGAATGGCTCTTGGCTCTGGGTCCCAATGCCTCGGCTGCTTTGGAGCTGGTCATCAACAGACTAGTGTGGAGAGTCTGCCAGAAGGGTCAGGCACCTGATATGTTGTGGCCCCTCGGCAGCGTGGCCAGCGCCCTTGGACCCGTGGCCAGCGCCCTTGGACCCCATGCACCAGTAGTCAGGTGTCCGTGTGCCGATGCCCCGAAGGAGGCTCAGGTTCTGGCTCACCGGGACCCGCCTTAGTGTGGAGGCCCCGGCTGTTTCTGTAGCCCACACCCAGGTGGAAGAAGGTCCTGGTTGGGTTGAGCCTTCCCCTCCACGCGTGTGCCCGAGCGTCCAGGCTCCCGTCCCTCATTTCCACCCCCCTCCCCTCCTCTGCCACCCCTGCACACACCGCTACCCACGCCCCCATCCCAGTGCTGAAGGTACCCAGTTGCCCCTTGTCCTCACATCAAGTCAGCCTCCAGAAAGCTCTGTGGGGATCCTGTGATCCCGTTGGGGAGGAGCCTGGGCTGGTGGTGTGCTGGGTTGGTGGGTCCGTGGGTCGTGGAGCAAGACGCCTGAGCTCCCTCACTTTCTTCTTGGCCAACACCCCCCCCCCCGCCTCGCCCTTGTCACTGAGGTGTTGACCACCCGGATCTCTTTGTCCCCTCACCCGTTTCCCGAGAGCCAGGCGGTGTCCTCGTGCCCTTCGGGCCCCCGGTACCGTGGACAGCCCCGCTTGCCGTCTCTGGTGCCTGCCCAGAGGGTTGGAACCGGGTCACCCTGGCCCCGAGGCCGAGGAACAGGAGGGCTTCGCTGGCCGCCTCGTGTCTCTGGGTCTAGTGTATGGGTGGGGTGCAGCGTGTGGGTAGTTTTTTTGAACAGGTTTTTGTAGCTTGGACGCGTATACTAATCCATTTTAAAAAAACTAAGGTTTTATATTTTTGGTCTTTAAAGTTCCAAAATTTTGTGTTGTTGTGACATCATTTATAGGATTAGGAAATAGGATATTTCCTGCATTTCTTCCTGAATACCTGATAGTCTTATTGAAGTAATGCCATTTTCCAGTAGTGATTTGTCAAGCAATTGAAGTTGTGCCATGTGAATAGTGTGTGTTTCAGAACAAGGTTCTGGTGTTAAATTACCATCTATAGTTTAAATGGTCTTGTCAGCTCTCAAACATAATGGGAAATATTGGTTATTCATGGATCATGGACACCATCTTTTGTGAATTGTCCGCGTTGTCTTTGTCATGTGGTCGTATCACAAAAACAATAGGGTCATTTCTGGTTACCAATTTTCACACATCTTTGGGAATGAAAAAGAAGGGTTAATTTTTATTAATCGAAATGGGATGTTATCTCACTCTTGATTTTTAATTTCCTTCAAATGTTCTTCAGGCCAGTAGCTGCTTCAACACTCAGTTTGTGTAACAGGTGAACCATGCGGTCACAAAAGTAGTAAAAGTTTCTGGGGTTCATGTCTGGGGGTGCACCTCATTCAGGCCAGTCTTCTGTGGTGGCTATGAAGTAATGCACACAGCTTGGTTCAGGGTAGTCTGTCAGCATCAGGAGAGTCTGGTGAGCCATGTGCAATCACTCTTCCCCAGGGTCCCATCCATTCTTTTTTTAAATTTTTTTTATTTTTTTAATTGGAGTTCGATTTGCCAGCATATAGCATATCACCCAGTGCTCATTCTGTCAAGTGCCCCCTCAGTGCCCATCACCCAGTCACCCCAACCCCCCGCCCACCTCCCCTTCCACCACCCCTAGTTCGTTTCCCAGAATTAGGTGTCTCTCATGTTCTGTCATCCTCTCTGATATTTCCCACTCATCTTCTCTCCTGGTCCCATGCATTCTTAACACAGGCTTGTATTTGGTACAGTTTAGTAGCCTACATGTCTTCCCTACTTTGATGGTCTCCAGACTCAGTCTTCATCATTTATTCTTGCTTCCTGCCCCAAGTATGGGCCACTTCGGCACCCTAAAATGGTTTCTATTATACTGTAAGTATAGCTGGTTTTGCTTCCTTAGAATTCATAAGACTCATAACTTCATTGGGTGAACATGCCATCAAATCTTCACTACAGAAAATGATAGTTGAATTTTAAATTTTAGGGAAAAAATGAAACTTTTCATTAGTGAATTCAAAGAAGGATTATTCTTGTACCCACACAACCTTAATCTTGTCATTAAGTATCATTATTGTTTTTTTTTTATCTCTGGAGTTTCTTTTTCTGAATTCTTTTTTTTTAAGATTTTATTTATTTATTTATAGAGATGCAGAGAGAGAGAGAGAGGCAGAGACACAGGCAGAGGGAGAAGCAGGCTCCATGCAGAGAACCTGATGTGGGACTCGATCCAGAGTCTCCGGGATCATGCCCTGAGCTGCTCCAGTATCATGCCCTGGGCTGCAGGCGGCGCTAAACCGCTGCGCCACCGGGGCTGCCCCTCTTTTTCTGAATTCTCATTAGTTTACCTACAACATGTCTCTCTTTTCTGTCCTCTCCCATGTCCATTTGCCATTCTGCTTTGTTTTTTTTGTGTGTGTGTGTGAAGTTAACCACTTTAATTTGCCATATACATATGAAATCAGCATGATTTTTTTGTTTATTTTTAAGAATAACTATGTTAATGTGTATAAGGTAGTATCTGAGTTTGGTTTTGATTTATTCTCTTTTTTTAAAGATGTTATTTATTTATTCATGAGACACACAGATAGAGGCAGAGACAAAGGCAGAGGGAGAAGCAGGCCCTGATGCAGGGAGCCTGATGTGGGACTGGATCCTGGGACTCCAGGATCACACCGTGACCAAAGGCAGATGCTCAACCTCTGAGCCACCAGGGTGTCCCATTCCTTAATTTATTCTCTAAAAGTTTAGTAATGTTAACCATCTTTTTATATTTTGGTTGGCCATTTGTATGTCATCTTGAGAGAAATGTACTTTGAAAATTTTACTCATTTGTTCATCAGGGTTTTTTTTGTTTTAATGTAGGAGTTCTTTACATATTTTAGGTATTATCACCTTATCAAGTATTTGTTCTGCAAGTATTTTCTGCCATTCTGTACATTGTATCTTCACTCTTGTTTATATTCTTTACTCAAAACGGTTTTTAGATTGTAGTCTCACTTGTCTATTTTTGTTTTTTTGCCTTTTGTTTTTCATGTCATATCCAAGAAATCACTGCCAAATCCAGTGTCAAAAATATTTTAACCATGTTTTCTTCTAGCTATTTTATAGTTTTGCATTTTTCATCTAGATCTTAAACATAATTTGTGTTAATTTTTGTATATGGTGTAATATAACTGTCCAACTTCTTCCTTTTGTATGTGGATATCCAGTTGGCCAAACACTATTTGTTGAAGAGACTATGTTTCACCATTGGGAGGTATTGACATCCTTGTTGAAAATAACTTGATCATCATATACATGATGATTTGTTTCTGGCTCTCTAGTCTTCTCCACTGGTATATGTATCTGTCTTCATGTTGATGCCATGCTGTTCTGATGAGTGTACAGCAATTTTCTAGCAAATTTTGAAATCAGGGTGTGAGTTCTCCACTTTTTTTTGTTTTGCAGATTGTTCTTAGTTTTTGGTGGACTTTGAAATTCCTTTGAGTTTTAGGATGATGTTTTCTACTTCTGCAAGAAACATCATTGGTATTTTAATAGGGTTTGCACTGAACCTGAAGATAGCTTTGGGTACTGCTGACATCTTACCATGGTATGTCTTTCTATACATCTGTATATTCTTTCCTGGTTTTCATCAATATTTTCTAGTTTTTGGTTTATGCGTTTTCACTTCCTTGGTTAGGTTTATTCATCAGTGTTTTATTCATTTTCATTGTATTGTACATAGAATTCTCTTCATAATTTCCTTCAGAGATTCTTTCTTTAGCTTAACGTTTAAATGTTTTTTTTTAAGATTTATTTATTTATTTATTCATTCAGAGAGAGCGAGAGAGAGGCAGAGACACAGGCAGAGGGAGAAGCAGGCTCCATGCAGGAAGCCTGATGTGGGACTCGATCCTGGGTCTCCAGGATCACACCCCAGGCTGCAGGCGGCACTAAACCGCTGCGCCACCAGGGCTACCCTAGCTTAACGTTTAATTTCTTTAGCAAGCTTCACTGTTTCATTAATTTATAAAGGGCATCCTCATTTCAGATCCTCCTATTTCATAGAGCTGTAAAAAGATGAAAACATAAACCACTATTATTGTCGTTATTTGTGGAAAGACCCAGAGAATTCCAAGGTTTTCTTTTTAAAAAAAATTTTTTTATTTATTTACGATAGTCAGAGAGAGAGAGAGAGAGAGAGAGAGAGAGAGAGAGAGAGAGAGAGAGAGAAAGAGAGGCAGAGGGAGAAGCAGGCTCCATGCACCGGGAGCCCGATGTGGGATTCGATCCCGGGTCTCCAGGATCGCGCCCTGGGCCAAAGGCAGACGCAAAACCGCTGCGCCACCCAGGGATCCCTCCAAGGTTTTCATATGTTGTTGCTACACATGGGAAGGAAGCTATTATTATTATTAGTAGTATTAGTATTATTTTATTTTAAAAGATTTTTATTTATTTATTTGAGAGCACAACAGGGGAGGAGCAGAGGGAGAAGCAGGGTTTCCACTGAGCAGGGAACCCAATGTGGTGCTTGATTCCAGGACCCCAGGATCATGACCTGAGCTGAAGTCTGATGCTTAATCCACTGAGCCACACAGGTACCTCGCTATAATATTTTTTTTCTTTTTCTTTTTTTAAAAAAGATTTTATTTATTTATTCATGAGAGACACAGAGAGATGCAGAGACAAGGCAGAGGGGGAAGCAAGTTCCCTGCAGGGGGCCTGATGCAGAATTGGATCCAGGACCTGAGCCAAAGGGGGACACTCAACCACTGAGCCACCTAGGTGCCCCTATAATTATTTTTAATCAAATATTCATTTCTATGCTATACGGTATTAGGCAACCATCAATCTTTTGAAACAATACTACATTTAAAAGTCATGTTTGGGGGATCCCTGGGTGGCTCAGCGGTTTAGCGCCTGCCTTTGGCCCGGGGCGTGGTCCTGGAGTCCCGGGATCGAGTCCCACGTCAGGCTCCCGGCATGGAGCCTGCTTCTCCCTCCTCCTTTGTCTCTGCCTCTCTCTCTCTCTCTCTCTCTCTCTCTCTCTCTGTGTGTCTATCATAAATAAATAAATAAATAAATAAATCTTAAAAAAAAAAGTCATGTTTGAAATTCTCCGTCTACCAAAGCAAAGTATTCTAATACAGAGATGATTGCAAGAGCTTCCTCAAAATCCCATTGTCCAACAGTATTCATAATGCAGTCTCTCATTTAAGCTTTTTTAAAAATCATGTGTAAATGAACAACAGAACACAGGTATCAGGTATACATGTATGAAAGAAATATATGCATATATAGTAGACTTTTGTCCTTTGTTTATTCATACAAATGTAATGATGTAACCTGTATTTTCTTCAGATTTGTTCAGGGTTTGAAGTTAACATGGGATTTCTCATACAGAACCAAATATACACAGAATGGATTTGTAGTCAAGGGCATCAGAACATGCAGCCGCAAAATGTGCCAGTTTGGCATAAAGACTATTGAGTTGAATGCAATTAAATAGAAGCCTATACAAGCAAAGCTCCCAGCCTAAAAGCAGGACATAAATTTTAAAAGATGTCCTCTATCTGTATCAGGAGAAAAAGGTATTCCCTGGAGAAAACATTAGTCCCCTAACCTGGAAGAGGGTACTAGAGAGATCTACATAACAGATTTTACTAGCTAACCCGAATCTACCACTAGTTTCCCATATATTTGCCTCCTCACAATTTATTGCCCTGGAGACTCCAGGTGTTTTTCTTTTGTCATGTAGTTATTCTAAAAGTTTACTGTTCCGCTGCTAAAATACTACATAAACTAAAGTTGAAACCAAATTTTTGTGTTGCTTACTGTGTCATAGCGAGGATACACAGGTTAACTTCTGTTTACTCCTGTTAATCAGTCTTTTGTGGGCAGTCCCAGTGGCCCAGCGGTTTAGCACTGCCTTCAGCCCAGGGTGTGATCCTGGAGACCCGGGATCAAGTCCCGAATCGGGCTCCACCTTGGGAGCCTGCTTTTCCCTCTGCCTGTGTCTCTGCCTCTCTCTCTGTGTCATGAATAAATAAATAAAATCTTTTATAAAAATCAGTCTTTTGTACAGTGGCCCTTGCAAGAACTTAGAACAGTGAGAAGAAAATTATTTTCCTTCCTTATAGTGGGCAAATAATGGCTGTTATGGAACAATAAAGTGGGAAATTTAATATTGACAATTTACAAAACTTTTTACAATTGAATGAATTGTTTAAACAAATAGTGTCAAAAATATTAAGTGTGCATCATTCATAAGCGTGAAGTTATGATAGCCTTAGTTGCTCCCTTCCCAGATGAGAGAACAGAGGTTTCCAAGAACAGGCACTTCTTGAACCATATCTCCTTGTGCACTTTGCTAAGGACCTGCTCCGGGACCAGTGCTTCTTCCAGGGCTTTCCTGGGGCTGCTGCAAGTGGCATCCATAATGCCTAGGTGAGTAGGGATGTGCTGAGTCACAGTGAATTTATTTAAAATATTTCTTTATTAGGAAAAAAAAGAACATGTTTTTATAAAGTAAGGTGTGCATAAACAGGCAATGTAGTGTAGAGAGGAAAGGAAGACAACCACTTATTCTATCACTCAGAGATGAAGAGTGTTAATTTAGGTTATGTATTCTTCATGCATTTTGTTCCCTAAAAGAGATGCAGATAAGATCCTTTCAAAACAACAGTCTTCGGGTACCTGGGTGATATAGTGCAGATCAGTAAGCATCCTGACCCTTGGTTTCAGTTTACCTGGTGATCTCCCGGTCGTGAGATAGAGCCCTACATAAGGAGTTTGCTTTGATTCTGTCTTTCTCTGCCCCTCCTCCTCACTCTTTGTTTCTTTCTCTCTCAAATAAATAAATCTTTTTAAAAATTAAAAAATGAAAACAATAGCTTAAGGAGCTTCCTAGGTTCATGGGTAACTTCCAGCTATTGTAACTAAACAATTGACTGTGAAGATAGGTTTGTTGCCTCTTTAATTCTATTGATAAGTGTAATCCTTACTTCATTATTTTTAAGAAAAACAAATCCTCACAAATACTGAAATGTTTCAAGGGAAAACTAAAGTAACCCCTGCCATATCCACTCCCAGTGTAATTATCCTTAAAATAAACTTATTTTTTTTTACAGATTTTATTTATTTATTCATGAGAGACAGAGAGAGAGTCAGAGACACAGGCAGAGGAAGAAGCAGGCTCCATGCAGGGAGCTTGATGTGGGACTCGATCCCGGGTCTCCAGGATCACACCCTGAGCTGAAGGCAGATGCTTAACTGCTGAGCCACGCTGGTGTCCCTAAAATAAACTCTTTAAAAGGAATCCATAGGAAATTTTATTAATTTTTTCAAAGAACCAGCTCTTTCAGGTGCCTGGGTTAAGCATCTGCCTTTGGCTCGGGTCATGATCCTGGTGTCCCACATTAATATTGAATGTAAATGGATTAAACCAGAACAGACGGCTTTTCCTGCATCTCCATAGATGAAAAATAAAATGAAAACAAATACAAAATACAATAGGCTGCCCGGTATTAACTCTTCTTTAAATGTTTCGTAGAATTTGCCTGTGAAGCTATCTGGCTCAGGACCTTTGTTTGTGGGGAGATTTTGATTACTAATTCAATTTCTTTGCTGGTTCTCAGTCTGTTTACATTTTCTACGTCTTCCTGTTTCAGTTTTGGTGATTTATGTATTTCTAGAAATACCCGAATCCGGAGGAGGGGCAAGATGGCGGAAGAGCAGGGTCCCCAAATCGCCTGTCCCCACCAAATTACCTAGATAACCTTCAAACAATCCTGAAAATTTACGAATTCGGCCTGAGATGTAAAGAGACCAGCTGGAATGCTACAGTGAGAAGAGTCCGCGCTTCTATCAAGGTAGGAAGACGGGGAAAAAGAAATAAAGGAACAAAAGGCCTCCGAGGGGGAGGGGCCCCGCGAGGAGCCGGGCTGAGGCCAGGGCGAGTGTCCCCAGGACAGGAGAGCCCCATCCCGGAGGAGCAGGAGCAGCACCAACCTTCCCGGTCGGGAAGGGGCCCGCAGGGAGTTAGAGCAGGACCCAGGAGGGCGGGGATGCCCTCGGGCTCCCGGGGACACTAACAGACACCTGCGAGCACAGGAGAGTGCTCGGAGCTCCCTAAGGGCTGCAGCGCGCACGGCGGACCGACCGGAGCAGCTCGGAGAGGCTCCGGAGCAGCTCGGAGCAGCTCGGAGGGGCTCGGGAGCGGCTCCAGGGAGGGAGCTGCAGGGCGGGAGCGTGAATCCAACAGCGCAGGCCCCGGAGCACAGGGCGCCGGGACACAGCCCAGGATCCGGCCTCCCCCGGGACAGGCAGAGGCCGGGAGGGCCTAGGACAGCAAGGACGCTCCTGCCCCGAGCTGAGCAGATCAGCGGCCCCGCCCCGGAGCCTCCAGGCCCTGCGAACAGAGAACCGAGAGCCCGAGCCCCGAGAGCCCGAGCCCCGAGAGCCCGAGCCCCGTAGTTCCTGCGGAGGCTAAATCCAGGCTTCCAGAGTTGCCATAGCAACTGCTGCTGTTCCTCCTGGGGCCCCACGGGGTAAACAACCCCCGCTGAGCCCGGCAGCAGGCAGGGGCAGAGCAGCTCCCCCAAGTGCTAACACCTGAAAATCAGCACAGCAGGCCCCTCCCCCAGAAGACCAGCTGGACGGACCAGTGATACTGCCCCGTGTTCCAATACAACTTGTTTTTGGCCACTCTGCACTGAGCAAAATGACTAGAAGGAAAACCTCACCTCAAAAGAAAGAATCAGAAACAGCCCTCTCTCCCACAGAGTTACAAAATCTGGATTACACTTCAATGTCAGAAAGCCAATTCAGAAGCACTATTCTACAGCTACTGGTGGCTCTAGAAAAAAGCATTAAGGACTCACGAGACTTCATGACTGCAGAATTTAGATCCAATCAGGCAGAAATTAAAAATCAATTGAATGAGATGCAATCCAAACTAGAAGTCCTAACGACGAGGGTTAACGAGGTGGAAGAACGAGTGAGTGACATAGAAGACAAGTTAATGGCAAAGAGGGAAACTGAGGAAAAAAGAGACAATCAATTAAGGGACCATGAAGACAGATTAAGGCAAATAAATGACAGTCTAAGGAAGAAAAACCTACGTTTAATTGGGGTTCCCGAAGGCGCCGAAAGGGCCAGAGGGCCAGAATATGTATTTGAACAAATCCTAGCTGAAAACTTTCCCAATCTGGGAAGGGAAACAGGCATTCAGATCCAGGAAATAGAGAGATCCCCCCCTAAAATCAATAAAAACCGTTCAAACACCTCGACATTTAATAGTGAAGCTTGCAAATTCCAAAGATAAAGAGAAGATCCTTAAAGCAGCAAGAGACAAGAAGTCCCTGACTTTCATGGGGAGGAATATTAGGGTAACAGCAGACCTCTCCACAGAGACCTGGCAGGCCAGAAAGGGCTGGCAGGATATATTCAGGATCCTAAATGAGAAGAACATGCAACCAAGAATACTTTATCCAGCAAGGCTCTCATTCAAAATGGAAGGAGAGATAAAGAGCTTCCAAGACAGGCAGGAACTGAAAGAATATGTGACCTCCAAACCAGCTCTGCAAGAAATTTTAAGGGGGACTCTTAAAACTCTCCTTAAAGAAGAAGTTCAGTGGAACAATCCACAAAAACAAGGACTAAATAGATATCATGATGACACTAAACTCATATCTGTCAATAGTAACTCTGAACGTGAATGGGCTTAATGACCCCATCAAAAGGCGCAGGGTTTCAGACTGGATAAAAAAGCAGGACCCATCTATTTGCTGTCTACAAGAGACTCATTTTAGACAGAAGGACACCTACAACCTGAAAATAAAAGGTTGGAGAACCATTTACCATTCAAATGGTTCTCAAAATATACCCTAAAAACTATAGAACACTTCTGAAAGAAATTGAGGAAGACACAAAGAGATGGAAAAATATTCCATGCTCATGGATTGGCAGAATTAATATTGTGAAAATGTCAATGTTACCCAGGGCAATTTACACGTATAATGCAATCCCTATCAAAATACCATGGACTTTCTTCAGAGACTTAGAACAAATTATTTTAAGATTTGTGTGGAATCAGAAAAGACCCCAAACAGCCAGGGGAATTTTAAAAAAGAAAACCATATCTGGGGGCATCACAATGCCAGATTTCAGGTTGTACTACAAAGCTGTGGTCATCAAGACAGTGTGGTACTGGCACAAAAACAGACACATAGATCAATGGAACAGAACAGAGAACCCAGAAGTGGACCCTGAACTTTATGGTCAACTAATATACGATAAAGGAGGAAAGACGATCCACTGGAAGAAAGACACTCTCTTCAATAAATGGTGCTGGGAAAATTGGACATCCACATGCAGAAGAATGAAACTGGACCACTCTCTTGCACCATACACAAAGATAAACTCAAAATAGATGAAAGATCTAAATGTGAGACAAGATTCCATCAAAATCCCAGAGGAGAACTCAGGCAACACCCTTTTTGAACTTGGCCACAGTAACCGGAGAAGGACAAACAGTGTATGTTCTCATTCATTTGGGGAATATGAATAATAGTGAAAGGGAATATAAGGGAAGGGAGAAGAAATGTGTGAGAAATATCAGAAAGGGAGACAGAACATAAAGACTTCTAACTCTGGGAAATGAACTAGGGGTGGTGGAAGGGGAGTAGGGCGGCGGGTGGGGGTGAATGGGTGACGGGCACGGAGGGGGACACTTGACGGGATGAGCACTGGGTGTTATTCTGTATGTTGGTAAATTGAACACCAATAAAAATTAATTTATAAAAAAAAAAGAAAAAAGAAATACCCTATGATCCAGCAGTTGCACTACTAGGTATTTACCCAACGAATACAAAAATACTAATTCAAAGGTATACACACATTCTAATATTTATAGCAGCATTACCTACATGACCTTTGAGTAACACACTGGATCAGATGGACTTAACATTAAATCCTAAAACCTCAGAATACACATTCTTTTTAAGTGTACATGGAACATTCACTAGAATAGATCAAAAAGCTTTCCTCCTAAGATGAGGAACAAGACAAGGATGCCTGCTTTAGCCACTGTATATTCTTGCCTCCGTGGTCATAGGCTAATGGACTATATAAGCACTACCCCCACCAGAACTGAGGCCCTGCAGAACTCTCTGGTTGAAAGACATTGTGTGGCAGTGGCACACATAATGGACCAAAACTATGGAGAGGAGAGTATATGGCAATACAAGCCTTCCATCAAGAAGCAAGAAAAAAAATCTGTTTGTACACCTAGTTTTCATGGCTGAGTAATATTCCATGATGTATATATACCACTTATTCTTTATTCACTCATCAGTCTCCTGCCATACTGTTTTCCAGAGTGGCTGCACCAGTTTGCAATCCTACCAACAGTGCAATGAAATAACCTCCTTTCTAAAGGAACTTAGAACTCAGTGATAATACCATAATAATAATAGAGGACCTTACTACCCCACTTACATCAATGGACATATCTAAGCAGGTTTTGGCAAGGATATGGAGAAAGGGGATCTTTCTCTGTTGATTTATTTCATTTAGCATAACACTCTCTAGCTCCATCCATGTCAATGCAAATGGAAAGATTTCATAGGTCACAAAACAGGTCTCAACAAATACAAAAAGACTGAAATGTATGACAACAAATTGGACCCTCTAAAAGAATTGGATAAAGAGAGAGAGAGGCAGAGACATAGGCAGAGGGAGAAGCAGGTTCCATGCAGGGAGCCTGATGCAGGATTCGATCCCAGGTCTCCAGGATCGTGCCCTGGGCTGAAGGCAATGCTAAACCGCTGAGCCCACATTGGGCTCCCCGCTCAGTGAGGGGTCTGCTTCTCCTTCTGCTCCTCACCCTGCCTGTGCTCTCTCTCTCTCTCAAATAAATACATAAATTTTTTATTTTTAAAAAATAAAGATATTCTTTCCAAAGTAATCCATAGCTAAGAAGGAAAGAATTATTGAAAACAAAGCTGGAGGTATCACAGTCCCATATTTGAAGCTATGATACAAAGCTCTTATTTTATTTATGGTACTGGCATAAAAATTGATCAGTGGAACAGAATAGAGAGCCCAGAGATAAATCCATGAAACACAGAAATAAGTGAAAATGAAAACATTTCCTGGTTGACCAATTCATTGTTTAGTAGCATGTTGTTTAACCTGCATGTATTTTTGGTCTTTCCAGATTTTTTGTGGGAAGAGCCTGCCGTGCTGGGTAAACATGTCTGAGAGGGACAGTCCTGCCAGACTGCAGGAAGGTAGAGCTTAGTGTAAGCCTGTTAGGCAGCCACTGTCCCTGTTGCACTGCTTCCCACTTGAGGCTCTGTGTTTATGCTGAGATACAGAGGAAGGAAATGGCACCAGCCAGCTTCTTTGTTCCAGGAGAGGTGTCTTTGTGAACACTATCAGGGACACACTCAGAGAAGAGGCAGGCCTCATTTATTTATTACTAGTTGTTTCTCAACTTTTTTGTGTTTTCTCTTTTGCTGATCTTCTGTAGTAATCTATTTTGATTTTTTTCTCTATTCTTTGCATGTCTTTTGGTAGTATTTGGTATATGGTTAACTTTAGGTTTGTATATAACCTTTTCTGCATATGGTAATCTATTAAGTTGATGATGGTTTAAGTTTGAACCCATTCTTTTCTCCTCTTCCCCATGTTTTAGGTATAAGTTATATTTTATATCCTTTTTTTGTGGGTTCCTTGTAGGGAGCCTACTTCTCCCTCTGCCTGTGTCTCTGCCTCTCTCTGTGTCTCTCATGAATAAATAAATAGAATCTTAAAAAAAAAAAAAACACAAGAGCAGAGCACATGCAAAACATACTGGAAACACTACCTGAAGCACCAGGCCCCAGGCACTACATGACCTCTTCTTTATAAGGCCATTATTTTCAGAAGCAGAAGACATGACTGGCTTTTCTAACACAGAGAAGGAAGCAGAGAGAGAGAGAGAGAGAGAAGGATTTATCCCAATGAAAGAACAAGATAAGGCCATGGCCAGAGATCTGAGCAAAACAGATATAAGTAACATGCCTCATGGAGAATTTATTATTATTATTTTTTAAATTTTTATTTACGACAGTCACAGAGAGAGAGAGAGAGGCAGAGACACAGGCAGAGGGAGAAGCAGGCTCCATGCAGGGAGCCCGATGTGGGATTCGATCCCGGGTCTCCAGGATCGCGCCCTGGGCCAAAGGCAGGCGCCAAACCGCTGTGCCACCCAGGGATCCCTCATGGAAAATTTAAAACAATGATCATAAGGAACTTGAGAAAAGAATGGAAGACATTACCATAGACAAAGGAGTTAAGAATCAGTCACAGATGAAGAGTGCAGTAAACAAGATTAGAAACAGGCTTGGAAATGACAAATACCCACCATTTGCTTCAACGTGGATGGAACTGGAGGGTATTATGCTGAGTGAAATAAGTCAATAAGAGAAGGACAAACATTGTATGGTCTCATTCATTTGGGGAATATAAAGGATAGTGAAAGGGAATAAAGGGGAAAGGAGAAAAGATGAGTGGAAAATATCAGAAAGGGAGACAAAATGAGAGACTCCTAACTGGGAAATGAACTAGGGATGGTGAAAGGGGAGGTGGGCGGGGGGTGGGGTGACTGGGTGACAGGCACTGAGGAGGGCACTTGATGGGATGAGCACTGGGTGTTATTCTATATGTTGGAAAATTGAACGCCAATAAAAAATAAATTTATATTAAAAAAAAGAAACAGGCTTGATGCAATGAACAGGTCAATGACCTAGAAGACAATGTAAGGGAAAGCAATGAAGCTGGACAAAAGAGGGAAAAAAAGCATTATGCAAAATGAGAATAGACTTAGGGAACTCAGGGACTCCATCAAACATAAAAACATTTGTACTGTAGGAGTCCCAGAAGAGAGAAAAGAAGGGAGAAAATTTATTTGAAGAAATAATAGCTGAAAACTTCCCTAACCTGGAGAAGGAAACAGATACTCAGATCCAGGAGGCACAGAGAATTCCCATCAAAATCCACAAGAGCAAGCCCACAGCAAGACATTGTAACTAAATCACAAAATATAATGATACAGAAAAAAAATCTTTTTTTAATAAAAAAAAAATTAAAGTAGGAAGATGAAATAAGTCCATAACTTACAAGGGAAAACCCATAAGGCTAGCAGATTTTGTTTTTGTTTTTTTTTGTACATTTTTTTTAAAATTTA